GAACTGTCATGAACTTAAACCCATGCATGACAGTTCAGAGCAAGCTTTGCATTGCAGAGCAACAATTTGTGTTGCTCCTGCAAAGCAAAGTGTAAAAAAAAAAAAGAAAAAAAAAAATTGTGATCACCTCCCCCCAAAGTAGTACAATGTTACTATGGTAACATTGCACTACTCTGATTAAAGTATTAAAAAAAAACAAAAAAAAAAAACAAAACAGATCGATAGATATATAGGATATTAATGTTAAAAAATATATATATTTTAACTACTTACCAACCGCCTGCCCACAATGTGCGGGCGAGCGACGGCTCTGGGCAAAGCAACATATCCTTACGTCGCTTTCTATTTGCGGGTGTGCGTGCGCCTTCCTCTGCCCCCCCCCCCCCATTGGTCCAGGGAGAGAAGAGAGAACACCGCACTAAAAGCACTACATTTTACACACACGTTAGATTAGCACATTTGCCCTTTGATCGCCCCTTTTAATCCTTTGATCACCCCGTAACCCAACCAGTGCCATTAGTATAGTGTCAGTATATAGAATTTTTCCACTGATCACTATTACTGCCACTAGTGACATCAGATAGCATCTGGATCTGTAAGCTCCCCTCCAGGCCAGAGTAAACTAGTGCTAGATTGCCTGCACACTACCGCACTCATGCTATAGGTCGCTGATCACTACCATTACTAGTATAGTGTTTGTACGGACCAATATATTGATCACAAACAGAACTGTACTAGTGCCTCCTTAGTATAGTGTCCCCAAAAACGCAGTGGTAGCAGAATCATCCCCGTTCACTGCCAGCACTAGCATTTAGCCCCTCTGCAGTTTTTTTCACGGAAGATTTGTACCAATTGATTGTAGGTCAAAGCAATATATACGCACAACACATGCTGACCACTCAAATTCAGCTCTTGCCACACAATTCGCATGGAAACCTATCACTGTTTCTGAATTTAAAAACCTTTTTTGGGCCTAACCCTCAACATGGGTATTACAAAAAAGAATGAATTATGGTCATATTGGTCCACAGACCCGATTCATCATATGCCCATGTTCTCGACTTTGAGTGGTTATACCGGGATGATGCCTGCAGCTACATCATTCTGGTATTGTTGTTTTAAGCTGGGGGTTAGCTTTCATGTAAAAGCAATCCTAGCAGCTAATTAGCTGCTGGATTGTTTTTACAAGCAGTGGTAAGGGACGCCCTCCGCTCCCGCTGCCTTCCGTTGCTTTCTCAGGTTCTCCCATCCCACAGAGAAATCTTGGAATGCAGCCGGCAGTTCCCCTGACGGACTATAGAACTGATTGGAGACTGGAATGCCTCCAATCATCTCTATGGTCTAAGAAACCGGAAACTACAAGTATGTCAGCATTTTCGTTTCGCTGGATATAAACAGCACCATTTTTAAATTGGGAAAGCATCTGATCACACCAATCTTCATGTGATCAGATGCTTGAAGGGCAGAGGAGAGATCTAGAGTCTAATAGACCCCAGATTTCTCAGAAAGAGTACCTGTCACTGCCTAACGCACAGTGGCGTAATGGTTGGCACTTCCGCCTGGCAGTACTAGGGTCATTAGTTGGAATCCCAACCACGGCACCACCTGCCTTGAGTTTGCATGTTCTCCCTCTGCTTGCGTGGGTTTCCTTCAGGTACTCCAGTTTCCTCCCACACTCCAAAGACATGCTGGTAGGTTAATTGGCTCCTATCTAAATTGGCCCTAGTATGTGTATGTATTAATGTGAGTTAGGGACCTTAGAGTGTGCGCCCCTTGAGGGTTAGGGACCGATGTGAATGTACAATATATGTATGTAAAGCGCTTTGTAAATTGATGGCACTATAGAAGTACCTTTAATAAATAATTACAGGGGATATTTACAGTGGGGAAAATAATTATTTGATCCCCTGCAGATTTTGTAAGTTTGCCCACTTACAAAAAAATGCTGTGCGACAAATTTCAACACGCACCGTTTCATTCTCTAGGGCCTCTTCTAGCAAAAAAAAAAAAGTGTTTTTTAATGTAAACAAAAGACTTTGTCTTCAAGTGGTTAGAAAAGTGGGTGATGTGTGGCATAAGCATCTAATGTTGGCCCTGAAATGCCAGGATAGTAGAAACACCCCCCCCAAAATACTTTTTTTGGAAAGTAGACACTCCAAAGTATTTGCCAAGGAGCATGGGGAGTATTTTGCAGCTCTTGTTTGAGGCCACAAGTCAGTGGACAATGAAGAAAGAAAATGAAAATGTATTTTTCTTTTTCAAAACCCTGTGAAAAAAATTATATCTGCAAAATACTCACCATGCCTTTTATTTCCTTGGGGTGTCTACTTTACAAAAAGGGGTCATTCGGGGGAGTGTTTGTATTATCCTGGCTTTTTAGGGCATCCGAATCTGATAGGTAGTGATGTGAGGTAATATACCCTTTGAAAGCCTGAAGGTGGTCATTGGGTTTTTGGGGAATGTATCTAGCTAGAATGCCAAAAAGTCTCTAACGTGTGGTATCCCCATACTCAGCAGAATGTGTTTTGGGTTGTTATTCCACATATACCCATGGCATGCATGAGCCATATATTCTTTAAGTCACAACTTTATGTTGAAAAAAAGAAAAAAGAAATTGTAATTTACCAAAAATGTGTGGCAAAAAATAAAATTTTCCAGGAGCTCAACATGCCTCGCAACAAAAGTGTCTATTTTCCCCCCAAAAAAAAGTCATTTGTAGGGGAGGGGGTTGGGATTTGTACTGCCCTCACATTTTACCTCCTCAAGAAATGTGATAGGCAGTCATAGCGTCTACAAAACTATGGTATACAGTCAGGTCCATAAATATTGGGACATGGACACAATTCTAACATTTTTGGCTCTATACACCACCACAATGGATTTGAAATGAAACGAACAAGATTTGCTTTAACTGCAGACTGTCAGCTTTAATTTGAGGGTATTTACATCCAAATCCGGTGAACGGTGTAGGAATTGCAACCGTTTGCATATGTGCCTCCCACTTGTTAAGGGACCAAAAGTAATGGGACAATTGGCTTCTCAGCTGTTCCATGGCCAGTTGTGTGTTTATTCCCTCATTATCCCAATTACAATGAGCAGATAAAAGGTCCAGAGTTCATTTCAAGTGTGCGATTTGCATTTGGAATCTGTTGCTGTCAACTCTCAAGATGACATCCAAAGAGCTGTCACTATCAGTGAAGCAAGCCATCATTAGGCTGAAAAAACAAAACAAACCCATCAGAGAGATAGCAAAACCATTAGGCGTGGCCAAAACAACTGTTTGGAACATTCTTAAAAAGAAGGAACGCACCGGTGAGCTCAGCAACACCAAAAGACCCGGAAGACCACGGAAAACAACTGTGGTGGATGAGCGAAGAATTCTTTCCCTGGTGAAGAAAACACCCTTCACAACAGTTGGCCAGATCAAGAACACTCTCCAGGAGGTAGGTGTATGTGTGTCAAAGTCAACCATTAAGAGAAGACTTCACCAGAGTGAATACAGAGGGTTCACCACAAGATGGAAACCATTGGTGAGCCTCAAAAACAGGAAGGCCAGATTAGAGTTTGCCAAACGACATGTAAAAAAGCCTTCACAGTTCTGGAACAACATCCTATGGACAGATGAGACCGAGATCAGCTTGTACCAGAGTGATGGGAAGAGAAGAGTATGAAGAAGGAAAGGAACTGCTCATGATCCTAAGCATACCACCTCATCAGTGAAGCATGGTGGTGGTAGTGTCATGGCGTGGGCATGTATGGCTGCCAATAGAACTGGTTCTCTTGTATTTATTGATGATGTGACTGCTGACAAAAGCAGCAGGATGAATTGTGAAGTGTTTCGGGAATATTATCTGCTCATATTCAGCCAAATGCTTCAGAACTCATTGGACGCCGCTTCACAGTGCAGATGGACAATGACCCAAAGCAGACTGCAAAAGCAACCAAAGAGTTTTTTTAAGGGAAAGAAGTGGAATGTTATGCAATGGCCAAGTCAATCACCTGACCTGAATCCGATTGAGCATGCATTTCACTTGCTGAAGACAAAACTGAAGGGAAAATGCCCCAAGAACAAGCAGAAACTGAAGACATTTGCAGTAGAGGCCTGGCAGAGCATCACCAGGGATGAAACCCAGCGTCTGGTGATGTCTATGCGTTCCAGACGTCAGGCTGTAATTGACAGGAAAGGATTTGTAACCAAGTATTAAAAAGTGAAAGTTTGATTTATGATTATTATTCTGTCCCATTACTTTTGGTCCCTTAAGAAGTGGGATGCACATATGCAAACTATTGTAATTCCTACACCGTTCACCTGATTTGGATGTAAATACCCTCAAATTAAAGCTGACAGTCTGCAGTTAAAGCACATCTTGTTTGTTTCATTTCAAATCCATTGTGGTGGTGTATAGAGCCAAAAATGTTAGAATTGTGTCCATGTCCCAATATTTATGGACCTGACTGTATATGCTGGAACTTGCGCAGCTTTTACGTTCTAACTTTCACACAAATCAATATACATGTATTGGGATTTTTTTTTGCTAAAGACACGTAGCAGAATACATTTTGGCCTAAATTTATGACTAACTTCGAGTTGTCCAGATATTATTTTTTTTTTTATAACTGATAATAGAAAATATAGTTTTTTTTTCATTTATATCACAAAAAATAAAAAACCCAGTGGTGATAAAATACCACCAAAATTTGTGTGAAAAAAAAAAAAAGCAACAAAACTTGTTTGGGTACAGCGTTGCATGACCATGCAATTATCAGTTGAAATTGCAGAGCGCTGAATAGCAAAAAAATTACCTGGTCCTGAAGGGGGGTAAGTCTTCTGGATCTGATGTTAAGGGGACATAGAAATTCTTCTTTTGCTACTGAAGACTTTTATTTGCCAAACTGGATAATGTCTTTTATAATCTATTTTCTCACGCAGAGAATTCTGACCTGACAAATTTTTTGTAAAAAAAAAAAAAACAAAAACACACACACACGTTACTGCATACCTCTTTCTAACATATCATCTGCCATTGCTGCAGCTAGTTTGGCGTCTCCAAGCATCACGGGACAAATGGGATGGTCATTTCCAGAAATAGTGAAACCTGCAGCTGCCATCTTGTTGCGAAACCTGTAATACATCACAGGTTAGTTGTAAAGTTACAAAACTAATTTGCTGTGGAAATAAACAAATTATATACCAGTCCTGAAATATATCAATGCAGACCCTGATAGCGGTCAGTTCTTCCTTCCCAAGTCTTATATTACTAAGTGAACACTAGCATTACAATGGTCTTGCCATTTTAAAGTGACATTAAATTTAATTTACATACAGTTTACCTCAAACATTTTTTCTTGCTCTGGTTCTCATCCCCATCCACCAAATCATCCACCAAATCACCCCACTCCCTTTCTTGTGGCCCCCAGCATGTAAACAATTTTTAAAAATACATTTTCAAAGTCTTGAGACAATCTACATGAATAAAGGGCAACGTGCTGGTGGGCCCATGAGGCCCTGCGTTCACTATAGTATCCTCTCTTCCAGGTTGAGCAACACTGGCTGTCATTCAACATGGAAGACTGACTGTATTTTGTGGCATTCAAGAGGTGCCGCAAGCCACAGCTCTGGATTGAAGACGAATATTGAAGCCAAAGCTCTATTTTATTTTTATGGTGCTGGTGAGGGGAGGGGCGGGGGCTGTCTCAATAAAAAAAAAAAATAGCCTACAGTTAGACTTTAAAGTAGAACGTAAGGCAAACTGCTTAATAGACAAACTACATATACAGTACTTTCAAACACTCCGCCACACTTCACAGCCAGGAAAATAGTGTGCTACTACACTTTACCAGTTTTATTGCTTCCTTGGACATCTCCCTACTCATTGAACAAAGGAAATTATGCTGCTTAATTATCCACTGAGCCAGCTGGAGAAGGAGAGGACACATAAGAAGCTGCAAAACTGAACAGGAAAAGAAGGGTGTGCAGTGTGGGAAAGGTGTGCAAATCCCAACATTTGGTAAAAGAGTTATATATGTATTATGTATGTGCTTACCGTGCCGTTTTAGCAGTCATCGACTGAGCAATTGTATTACTTTCCATCAAGAGGTCAAGAGCTTTAGAGGCACTGCCAACAACAGCTGGAGGAAGCGTATTGGAGAAAAGGTATGGTCGGGAACGTTGCCGCAACAAGTCAATGAGAGGCTTTGGGCCTGTTGTATACCCACCTGGGGGATGTAGAGTAATACCGTTATAGCCAAAAGAAAACAGGTTAACAGTTAAAGTGCATTTAAACCCAAGAACAAACATTTAGGATATTGCAGCTTGGGCTACTGAACACCACCTGCTCCTCCTCTCTATAACAAAGGATGCATTCTGTAGTTCACAGAGCAGAGGAGAGGTGGGCAGGGCTCAGATCAATGCTTGAAATTTCTGTGCAGCAGAGGAGAGGAAACACTCAAGTAACTCACTCGCTGGATTTCTGACCAGATAAAAACAGATTTCTTTCTGTACTGTGCAGCTTGCTAAAAAGGTTTTTAGTTAATTTCTTTTACCTACAGTTTACAGATAAAGTAAAACAGGATTTCTGAGTTAGGCTGGCCATAGACGGGCCATTTATCGGCCGAATTGTCAGCCGATAAACGAAAAGTCGGTCGTTGCCACCATGGATGCTGCCACCAATGCTCACAAAAAAACGCCCATTTTTCGTGGATTTTCCAACATGACCGATAAAAAAAAATGAGAAGATCCGCGAAAAAAAAAAAAATAAAAAAAAAAACGAAAAACGGCCGACAGCATTGCCCCACTAATGGCATGAATATCTGCCAATTTTTCGCGCGCGGACGAAAATTCGTCCGATAAACGACCCGTCTCTGGGCTGCATTAGGCAACGAGGTCAAGATGACACCAGATTAATCCCATCATGTAGGAACCTCCAGGAGGACTAGTCAACAGACAGAAACAATAAGTGACTTGATTAACTCCATTAACAATGGGACAAATACACAACGGTAAACACATCACACCTTGGTAAACACAACGGTAAACACATCACACCTTGGTAAACAGATTACAGCAAGAGACCTCAGCATCAGGTTGTTTTGAGAAGACTATATTAGCACATGATTAGAGGATGTGAGTCTAGGAGGAGGGGTTGAAGCAGTCAATGCTGGTTTGGGCACAGACCGCAAATCCGTGTCCTGGTCCTCCAGTTCTCAGAGTGTGTGTTTTGGGGACACAGACTTGAATCTGAAGTAAAAAGGTCCCCCCAGGCACACACCTCCCAAAGAGTAGAGCACCTTCAGATGCCAGGGCCCATGGTAAGTAGGCAAGAGACTAGCCTGCAGTCCCCTCCAAAAGCCCCTGTTCCAGTTGGGTCTGTCATATCCTCCCACTTCCGTCATGCTCCCATTTTATGGAGAAGCAATAGTAGGAGTGGTTCATGATAACAAAGAAGAGGGACCTGTATCCCTTTAAATTGATACTCTGAGTGCTGCATTAGCAAGCCACTTGCTATGGGGGCACCCATACAGAAAAGTTCTCAAACCAGACTGTGTGCATCCATAGACACACAGCACTGTAAGACCTGCTCACAAGAGTTTTACTTCCAGCAGCAGGAGCCTACAAACAATGCATTAAGATAAAAAAAAATTTTGACTTTAGAACCACTTAATGTAGTCCAAAAAAAAGAAGATTTTATGGCAAGTCAAAAACCCTGTGTTTTCTTAATTGTACATTAAAGGCATACAGGGCACATTGGGACATCCAAAAGCAGTCCATCTAAGGCCTCAATCACACGGACATAGTGTACACCTGTGTGAGCGCTGTGTTTTGCCGGCAAGGGATGCACAGGTGTTCTGTGCATACAAGTGCATGAAGTTCTATTCATGTCAGTTGGGCTGCAGCTACTGCTCCCAATTTAGCATCCATGTGGACGCGCATTGGGTTTTCATTTCCCAAATGAATTTTGAAAACAGAGATCCTATAGAATTAAAGATAGTTTGCCAACCTTTTTTTTACCAAACCTACAATTTTAATAAGAAAAATTAAAACGATAAGTGGCAAACACAAAATGCCAACTGCAAATTTCTGACTATAAAACTGGGTCCAATTAAAGCCTAAGCTAGGCAAAAAAAAAAAAATACAAAAAACAGCACAAGGGACAGCACGTACCTGCTGGCTGCTGTTGTAGTCGTAATCCAAGTCCTCTGCACCCCCCCCACTCCACCACATATCCACAGTTCTGATCTTCCAGTGCTGTGCGTAATAGGCATCAAGGGACATGCCACAGGCACTAGTCAAGAGTGCCAACTATGTCTGCCCTTTCCACCCCCTCCTCCATTCATAGAAGCTGTACTATAGCTTCCACAACCTATGAAAGGAGAAGGACCATCCTCCCTTCATAGATCTGGCGAAGATGTTAGCGACAGAGTGAGTAGGGAGTCTGTCATAATGTGCAAATATGATGTGCATACTTACACATTATGGCAAATCCCCTAAGCACTGGCCGTGGAATTCAGCTCCACATTACGTGACACAGCACTGTCCATCTCCTCCCCACTACATTGCACATATACTGACAGTGAATCCAGAGGTACCAGCCTTACAGACCCCAACTTGCAGTTAGCTAGAAAACCATAAATCTAATGATTGTAGCAATTGAATGGTTAACATTAGCAAGTAAACCAAGGATTAATCAAAATAACAGCTGTATTTCACCCCATCCTTTGTTGTTCAGATGCTGTAATCCCAACATCACAAATTATCATCCTTTTGCACAAGCAGAGTCTCCTATATACTGCTAATATACAAATAGAAAGAAGAGTCAATGCAGGAATCTTTGTTTTCAATGTATGTTTTTGACCTCCAAGTATGCTCCCCTGTTTAAAATTACAGATGCCTGTAGCGGTTTGCAAAAAAGCTCACCCCATAGTTATGAAGAATGCAAACTGGAAGAAGGCTTCCATCTAGCCACTCTGCCATAAAGTCCAGATCAGCGGAGGGCTGCAGTGATGGTTGTCCTTATGGAACTTTGTCCCATCTCCACACGATCGTTGGAGCTCAGCCAGAGAGAGCATTGGGTTCTTGGTCACCTCTCTAAGGCCCTTCTCCTCCACTTGCTCAGTTTGGCCAGGCAACCAGCTCTTGAAAGAGTTTTTTGTAGCCTTCCCAAGATCTGTGCCTTTCAATAATCCTGTCTCTGAGCTCTGCAGGCAGTTCCTTTGACCTCATGGCTTTTGCCCTGATACAGTATGCATTATGACCTGTGAAGGCTTTTATAGGGAAGTGTGTGTCTTTCCAAATAATGTCAATCAATTTAGTTTAGCACAGGTGGACTCCAATCAAGGTGCAGAAACATCTCTGCAATGATCAAGAGAAATGGGAGGCACCTGAGCTAAATTTCAAGTGTTGTTGCACATGGTCTGAATACTTATGCAAAAAAAAATACTTATTAAAAATACTTATGCCAAAAAGACATTTCTAAAATTCTAATTTAATTTTGTCATTATCACTGAGTGTAGATTAATGAGAACAAAATGAATTTAGACAATTGTATGATCAGCTGCAACATAACAAAATTGAAAAAAGTGAAGGGGGTCTGAATACTTTCTGAATGCACTGTATATAGTCTCCAGAAAGTGAAAATGTCACAACAAAATCATGGTACTCAATCCCTTGGTGCCGAAGCCTCACCGGCCGTTTAGGGGGTTTGTGAGGCTGAGAGCTGGGGCGAGGTTTAGGGTCACGTGATTGGCTGTCACAGCAGTCACATTATCGGAAAGGTCCTGATCACAAGTAGTGATCAGGACCTTTCCATGAGGTGCGTACTGCGAACGTACTGTGAACGAACACTCTCAGCACGTTTGTTTACTTTTGGTATGCAGATAGGTTAATAAACTAGTATTGGGGAGAGGAACCCAAGCTAGGCACCAAACTAAGTAGCCTAGGATAGGGTTTTCAAAAAGTGAGAGGCACAACCAGTCAGGAAAAGCTTAGCCAGGAGGCATCCAAGTTCTCATATTAGAATTAGGGGTTTCTCATATGCTCATAACACGGATCCCATCCATCCAATAGTATAAATATAACCTAATATAGTGACGTTAGGTGCTAGATGGAATCTGCTTATACTACTTTAAGCTCAGATAATATCACACAATATAAATATAAATCAGTGTGCTAAGAAAAAAAAAAAAAACAAAAAAAAAAAAAATACAAAACACTCTACATACTGTATATAATATACACCGATTTATATTTATATTGTGTGATATTATCGATGTTTAAAGTAGTATAAGCAAATTCTATCTAGTACCTAGCATCACTATAATGGTTAATATTTGGATTTACACACTGCTATTGTGGTAGGAGCAGCAAAATTTGTGGGGAGCATACACACATTTTTGGTGGTTAATATATTTTTAAGAGAAGGCATTTGTGGTGCAGGTTCATTGTTTTATAACATCTAAAAGTATGGCTCCTGATGTTAATTTCTCCAAAAGAAGCCCAAGAAGTCTCAGGATGTGAAAAGGTGTCTGATATTTATTATGCTGTCTATGACGCAGTAACCCTTTTCTTTTTGTTTTGAAAATATTTAATAAACTACAAACTTGATACAAATTTATAAACTGAGTTGCAGTTCAGTGAGCAAAAAAAAGTTTTTGATCTCCTACCAACCAACAATAATTCTGGCTCCCACAGACTGACTATGTACTCATGTGCTACTCATCATTAGGAGCACCTTAAATTGACAGGACTAATATAACTCGTTATTTGTATAAAAGACACCTGTCCACAGAATCGCTTTCTTCCATTCAAATGTCACCACCATGGGCAAGACCAAAGAGCTGTCAAAGGATGTGAGGGAAAAGATTGTAGACCTGCACAAGGCTGGAATGGGCTACAAGACCATCAGCAAGACGCTTGGTGAGAAGGAGACAACTGCTAGAGCGATTATTATCAAATGGAAGAAACACAAAATAACCATCAATCTCCCTCGGTCTGGAGCTCAATGCAAGATTTCTTCTCATGGGGTAAGGATGAGCATGAGAAAAAAAAAAAAAAAAAAAAAGATGATCATGAGGGATCAGCCCAGAACTACATAGGAGAAGCTTGTGAATGATCTCAAGGCAGTTGGGACCACAGTAACCAAACAAACCATTGGTAACACAATCCGCGCCCGAAAGGCCCCCCCTTTTCAACACGGCACATGTACAGGCCCAACTGAAGTGTGCTGATGAACATCTAAATGATTCAGAGAAGGATTGAGAGAAAGTGCTGTGGTCAGATGAGACCAAAATTTAGCTCTTTGGCATTAACTCGACTCACCGTGTTTGGAGGCAGAAAAATGCTGACTGTGACCTTAAGAACACCATCCCTACAGTCAAGCACGGAGGTGGAAACATGCTTTGGGGCTTTTTCTCAGCTAAAAGGTACAGGCTGACTTTGCCGCATTGAGGGGCCAATGGATGGAGCCATGTATTTTAAAATCTTGGATGAGAACCTTCTTCCCAGAACACTGAAGATGGGTCTTCCAGATTGACAATGACCCAAAACATACTGCCAATGCAACAACAAAGTCATGTTTTGCTTGGGGATCAAAATATTTTACTCACTGAACTGCAATTCAATTTATAACATTTGTATCCTGTTTTTTCTGGAGTTTTGGTTGCTATTCTGTCTCTATCAAAATCTGCAAAGGATCAAATAATTATTTTCCCCACTGTATGCGGGGCCAGATTTTAGGGCCTGAAGACCCTTAAATCTGATCCCACATACAGTGGCCTTAGTGATTGGCATAAGATAGCTACCTTAGGTAGCGACTGGCTGATGACAGGGAAACAACTGTAACACCAGTTGACCCACAAGCTGATTATGAGTCAAGTCTCAAAAGCAGTAAAGATTTAAAAGAGCAACTAGAAATCTTTCACAGGCAATCCTGCCCAATTATGTTATGATAAAATGTTCATATTCTTTTGAATGTAAAAATTAATCCTCAAGGATGTCATTACACAATATACTGAAATCCTGTGGTTGACCCAGCTTGCTCTATTGGCTACTTTCTGGTGTCGAGAACTGCTTATAGTCTGACATTCTCTGCCCTTCTGGCCCCCCTCACCCTGGTTTGTATTACCAAAAAATATCTTGCTTGACTTTTCTTTAACCTTAGGCTGTCCTCACACTTCATTATCTCAGATACAGTACTCTCATTTATTTGAGCGCTCGGTGTCATTGTGTCAGAAAACTCATTTGGGTAGTCCTCTAACAGGTCTAATTCATATTTATACGGAAAAATATCTGTAGGAGCAGTAAAAGCTATATTTCATGCAATCTCAATCTAGAAGAAGTTTTATCCCAAATTTACAATTCCATAACATGATTTTAAATTTAAAAAAAAAAAAAAAAAAAAAAAAAAAAAAAGAAGGGAGAGAGAAAGGAAAGCACACAGCCACATTTTGTGACCAATTAAACAATGATAAAAAGACTGTTACTAGACAAATATCTTATAATGTAATTATGCTAAGCTAATGGTACCATGTTATGCTAATGGTACAAAAACTGACCTGCAGCTCCACCCAATGCCTTGCCGAGTGTAGAATTAACAATGGTCACTTGGTCCATGACTCCAAGAAGCTCATCTGTTCCCCTGCCAAAAGAGAGGACACTCAAATACATATTCAGGAAGCTGTGGTATATTTTCACTTGAAAATAAAATCTATGAGTATATTAAACATTGCCGGAACAGGCCATTTGTTTTATGCAGCAATTACACATTTGTAGAAGTAGTACATAATGGAGGTACAATGGATACTTCTGAAAAGGAATGCTGTAAAAACAAGAAAATCCAAATTGAAAAGTATAACTAACTTTGCATTATATACCCATTTGTATAAGCCAACCACTTACATATACAGTATGACTACAGACCTCAGATCAGATACCGCTATCTAAGTAGCTGTTGTATTTGCTGGTATTATACATTGTGACATTAAGAAAGGCGAGGTGATTGAGGGGCACTTTGCATGCTTTCATATGTAGGAAACTAAAGTGGAATACAAATTTTCCTTTCCACTTGTGACCACCAGTAGGTGGTATATGTGACGATCGTGGCGTCAGACCCCCAGCCCTTCTCACCAACTCGTAACCGAAGGACTAGCTAATCTAAAACCGCGCTGTCACATGCGTAACAATACCACGCTCAACTTCACCCTGCACAAAGATTTTCCAGCTAATGGACCACAATCTGTGTACCTGCAGCCTGAGAGTGATTGTTACTGGGTCAGGTTAATTACGCAATTAACCCTTCACACTGCCACCACCTCCGTTTTGTACAGAGAAAGAGGAAACTCGGCAATATTAGCAATAACACTATGATGTTTGAATAATCGTCTGTATACCACTGTCACCGCAGGCAGGGATATATAGAGGTTTAAAAACACACACAGTAGCGCTCTTCAGAGACAGGGATTCTTAGTTTGCATAAAAGAGCATTAAAATAATTTACAGAAAAAAGATAAAAAGATGTAGCATATATATATATATATATATATATATATATATATATATATATATACACACACACATACATATATATATATACACACACACATACATACATATATATATATACACATACATACAGAGACCAATAACACAGCAAAGAGATAACAGAAAGAAGTTTAGAGAGGCAAAGTACTTGCCGTCAGCCTTGGTTTAAGCAGAGTTCAAGTGTCAGAGCAAAAGGGTACCGTTCTCCCAAAGTTGGTTCCAATATTAAAAGGGAGAATTCTTCAACTTCAGCTCAACTGCTCCCAGCATAGCAGCCTTTTTCTAGGGACTCAGCAGGGTGCCTCCTTAAAGCAGAGAACCAATTGCCTCATTTGGGGAGGGGTGCTTAGGCGGAGACTCACGCTAGAACCAAAATCCCTCCCTCCAGTTTATATCATGATCAATAACCTACCCCAGGTGCATGCAGCAACCTAGCCACTAGTAGATTAATAAGCAGAATCATCTGCTGAACATCTAGATATTAAATATGACATACCTGCTTGGATCGGTTAAGGAGATATCGTTTTCTGCTCTCCTGTAGATTTCAGCTAGGGGGTGTAAGATATCAGACGACTTGCATGAAACTGAGCTAACCGAATATATGCTTTGTTTTTATGTAATTATTTCCCAGCTCCAGATATAAAATTATATGGAAAAGTGGGTTTTTAAATGTGAGTCTGTTTTACAGCTAGCTGGAATGTCTTTGAAGCCCAATGAAGGACTGGTTTATAGTTTTAAGATTCTCTCAGGTTGAGAAGCTAACAGACACCCGGGCACCAGCTAATTTGGGATTTATAACCATGAAGCTCTCCCGCTGGGGCCTGGTGCCTTTTGAACTCAGCATTATACAGACCACATGTCACTGAACAGAGAGGGAGGGGGATTGGAGGAAAGCTGATTTGGAAGTAGAAATGATACAAGATGGAGGCCTTTGCCAAAATGGAGGTTCGCATCCATCTCTGTACATACTCCAGTCCTGCTTTATATATACTGTAGCAATTGTAAGAGGTTACTCTTGGCCTGGGACTCGGGAAGACATACCTGAAAAAGCTGTGGATGTGAAAGTTTGCTTTGTACAAGAAAGGAAAGGGTTTGCATGTCTTGTTGGTAACTGGGACAAGCCCTTCACCTGTGAGATAGGAATCTCTGCTGTTTAGTTAGTGCTTGGATGGCAAGGATTTACTTTCTGTTTTGTTTATTTTCCATGCAACCTTTTAAATAAAACTGACTACAAGCCAGACTTTTATGAAAGACCAGCCGCCTGGACTGCCTTTCTGCTAGGGAAGGCGATTCCCATCTGAGATAACTCCACAATATATAAATGAATCTACCCTTTTTATTCTAATAGAGCGGCTTCACACAGCCACGCTGCACTTTTGCCAACATACAGCTAACCTGCTGTTTTCATGCAGATTAGCTGCGCTTTCCCATACACTTCTATGAGGTCCTGTGGTTTTATTGTGGTTTCAGAAAGCACACCAAAACTCCTGCTGGCTGCACTTGTGGTGCACTTTCTGAAACTGCACCAAAACTGTGGGACCTCATAGATGTCTATGGCAAAGCACAGCTAACCTGCGCAAAACCCGTGGCTTATCTGCACTTTGCCCACACCATGGTGGTGGGAAACCTCCATTAGATGGCAAGTGCCCTTATCTAAAGTGCCACAAATATTTAAATGGTCTTTGTACCCAAAAAACCCCCCAAAAAACTAAAGCAGTCATGTAGATTTAAAGTCAAAGAATCAAAATACATGCAGTTTCAGCAGCAGTTATCAATGCTCCTCTACACCCAAATGGCGGGCTGTTTTAAAAGGGCAAAATTCCAAACACTTCCCTCCTTTTTCCTACTATCCCATCACTATGACGGGCTGCCTCACTGGCCAATAGTCTGAGATGGGGAAAAGGGAGAGCATGTCAATGAAAGATGCTACAGCTGTGTGCAAATTCTCTGCCTACAGACTTAATTTTTTTTTATAAACCTAAAATGGGGGAGGGGGGGTTATACTTTCCTGCTCTGTGCAAGGATATTGAACACTTACCTCCTTTACTGGGGTCCCCCGCTGACACTGGTCTGCTCCCCTATAGTGAGCATATATGCAGGCAGGTGCACACCTGAGCTGAGCTGTATGCATCCATCGACACATACAGCGTGGATCGGAAACACCCCCCACTTCCTCCTCACTGGATTTGATTGACAGCAGCAGGAGCCAATGGCTCTCGCTGCTATCTGTTTGTCCTCTGAGAACATGGAGAAAGATCAGAGCTGCAGCAGACAGGAACAGCGCTGGATCAATAGAGGGCTCATGTAACTATTTGGGGGGGTTGTGGAGCAAACAAGGTGAGTGTCTTTACTGTAGTGAATTAAAGGTTAAAAAAAATAATCTTTTGACTTTAGAACCACCTTAATTTCTTTATTTTAAGTTTAAAAGCTTAAAAGTGGTTGTAAACCCTTACATACACCCAGTGAAGTGACTGGCCTTCACAGAGATGAAACAAAATCCTCCTACACAAGTTGTAACGGTCCACCTGCAGTCATCTCTACTCTACATCTGTCCAGAGTTTATAAAGCTTATCTAAGCTTTCAGAAAACCGGGGGCAGAGAGCTGAAATGACACAATGCAGAGCTCAGTGAGAAGAGCTCTGAGAGTTGATTGGAGGGAAGGGTCACATACCCCCTTCACAGGAGCACACAGGAACAGAGCTGAGGATGTCTATCACAGGTTGTGTGTTAGAAATCCCTCATAGTCACCTTTTTTCTCTTGGGGTTAGAAAAACTTGTCAGAAGTGACTAATACAAATATCAGAGGAGCAGACAGAAATGACACGTCGTGCTCTTGAGGGGTATGCTTTGTTCATACTTCATGTCTGAGGTTTACAACCACTTTACTCCAGAAGAAACACAGCTGAATACAGTTAATGTGAATATGTCCAAGTATTTCTTACCGTCCATTTGGTCCCATAAAGCCAGTGGCATGACATTCATCTATAAACACCAAGGCATTATAGCGCTTTGCCAGGCCACAAATCTCACGCAGAGGAGCAATATCTCCATCCATAGAGAAGACACCATCAGTAGCTATAAGACGCAGGCGGTGTTTCTGAACAGAGAAAATGTTCAGTTTAAAATATACAATTAATTGTAAACAAAACATTTTAATGTTCCATTCATAACAGATAACTAGTAACTTGATAAGAATGATCTATCAAAACCAGCATAACCAAATGGCATGACAGATAAGAACAACCAGACCTCAGACCTAGTGAATTACCCTTCCCACTGTGCACCACACATACCATTACCAGGCGGCTGCCATTCTTTCGGTTTTTTGTATTTGACCTGTATATGAAGTGCTTTTTTTTAAATTTGAGGTTTGTAAATAGTATATGCCATTTTAGGAAAACAGTACTTTAGTTAAAGTGGAACTACACTACATCTAAGCACCACAATCCAAAAATGCAATTTAACTCATTGTTAATATCCAAAGCAAACTCACCCACCCATGTCTCCTTGCGTTATTTTGCTGAGAAAGTGTTCTGAAAACACCCTCATCATTTTCTGGCAGTGGCCATCTTAAGTAAGGGAGATTATGTAGCATTTACTTCCTGGAATCCATCTGCCTTTAGCTCAGGCATAGGCTGAGCTGAGAACCCTCCCTCTTCTGAATGCTGCTGGGTTGTATAACAATTTGCCTAGCCATGTAAACCAGGAAGTAACTAAAGAAATGTATAAAAAAAAAAAAGTTTAACACAAGTAAATATGATATACTTTCCAATCCATTTACTAATGCTAAAACAGTCCAGTATGGTGATTGGGAGAGAGTGAAGTTTCTGCTTTAGGCTCCATGCACACTGGCTGTTTTAATAACGCTGGTAACAGCTGTGTAAAGTCACATTAAAAACGTGACTTTCAGCGTTTTTGTATTTTTTTTTTTTAATTTAAAAATTTTTGGGGGGGTAAAAAAAAAAAACCACCTCTAGAAATCCACTAGTACTGGGGGGGGTTTTCAGCCAAAAAACATCCTTGCCAAAAAAACGCTGATTACAGTCTATGTGTGCATGGATACACAGGATAACATGCTGGGGAGTTTACTGGCTGTAGGAAAAAATGTCAAAGCCAAAAACAGCAGATGTAAAAACGTCCAGTGTGCATGAGGACTAAGGCTTACGCTCAATTTGATACAATAAAACATACATGCCACTGTTGGTGCTCTGTTAGATAAATGTAGTACATGATATTGGAGGTGTCTTTATGCACTTTTTAGTTTCCACATATACCTGTAGATGTACGCAATTCTTTTTAATCAAAACCAGATTCAGTAGGTTCTTTTGGCTAGAAACATGGGGATTGTAAGTGTAGGGGAATCTTGTACTGCTTCATCAGTTTTGATCACAAGATCAAGCATAAGCAAAAAATACAGTATATACTGTATATATTATTAACCTACAAAAGCACACAACAATGGATTGCAGTAGTTAAATTCATTTTTAAAAAAATATTTAAAGCTGGGCTTTAGTGCAAACAGCTAAAACATACAAATTAAATATTTAGGCCCCTTTCACACAGACTTTCCAATCAGGTCCACCAGTCAGTTTTCAAGTGGACCTGATCAGGAGCTCCATGCAGGTATATATGCGCAGGAGGATGTAAACATGTATCCTATTGGACTGCACTTTAGATACGTGTAACTGCTATAAACAGGAAAATGAAGGACTATGAAAATGAAAGTTGTCACTACAATTTACCACTCTGCTGTGCAGAGGGATTACAGGAGAGCTTCCAGCTACATGTACACTTGCTGCCTCCACTGGCATTGCTGCAGATATTTGAAAAACAAAAAAACAAACAAAAAACACACACACACCAAAACCATACACATAAATCTACTAGTCAGTCTCGCACCATAGAGGGTAGTGCGAGACTGACTAGTAGATTTAGATTGGCAAATTAAAGCCAAAACATGAGCTAACACTTTAAAAGCAGTTACAGGAACAGATTTTTCTATTTTTCTTTACCTATTTGGTTAAAAGATTTTAATGCCGACTATTGTAAGCAACCCTATCAGTGTTAAACGGTTTGTCTCCATCCTCAGTTTGCTGAACATCTCTCCTAAAAAAGGAGAAGTTCTGGATTTTTTCCTTAAAATTATACCTGCCTAGGTGGATGCAGCGTCAGTCCGATGCTGTATCTGTCCCCCACCGGCTCCAAGTGTGAGAATTCAGTGGTCACATGACAGCTGATCACTGAGTTCTCACTGCCACTGTGAACAGAGAGCGGTGACTGTCAGTGACTGTCTGGAGCGCTGGGCTGTGGAGGGAGCAGCTGACTCAGGTTCTCAGGGGCTCGCTGAGAGGCTGATCTAGAGGCCACTCCATATTCTGGGGTGGATCCCAACTTTAAAGTTGGGATCTTTCCCCAGCCTGGACCAGCTCAGTGACACCAGCCCGCTATCAGCTGAAACAAAACTGCACTCCAAAAGAGCTTTGGCTGTACTACTCCTTTAAAGGAAGTTAACTAATAACAGACCTACTGTCAGGATCAATATGTGAAAATAAAAAGTAAACCAGAAAACTAATGCAGCTACTACATTTAAAGTGTTACTAAACCCAGGACCCTGCATTCACTATATCTGGTCTCCTGAAAACTCTTCATACAAGCTTTAACATGTGCTCTGCTGATAGAAGTCACAGAACTGGACTAACTGCAATGAAAAAAGGTATTTAGTAGTTTATAGTTACTAAAAAATAATTGCACTTCCATGCAGGGTCCTGGATTTAGTAACACTTTTAAGTCACTGTGTGGCCCACTGGCTACATAAGGTGGAACACCAAGAAAGTTGCTCTACAGTTGTGACCAAAATTATTCAACCCCTACTGAACTATTTTGAGTGTTTTGGCCAGTTTGCTGGCAGTCATCTTGTAGATTTTGACTCTGTATCCCCCAAGTTGAAGTCCATTAAGGGGTTAGAAACAGACTGTTTTAGATGATAAGCTAAACAGCGATAACACAAAGAATAACCATTCTTAGGCTTGCGCACTGCAACTGCTTTCTTTAAGTCCCACACTCAATCGGATTTTAAGTCTGGTTGACACCAAAGGCCACTCCAAAATGTTCCAGCCTTTCCTCTCAAAAATCTCTAGTGGAATTGGAGGTATGCTTGGGATCATTGTCCTGTTGAAAGGTCCAATATCTCCCAAGAAAAGGGTACTGAAGAGAATTCATGGTACATGAAGACTCCTGCAGAAGCATGATTTCACTGTAGCAAGGTGTTCTTTTCAAAAGGCCTTGTTCTTCCTCCTCCAAACATAGCGTGTGATCCATGGGCCCAAACAGTTCTAATTTTGTTTCATCATGAACACTTTAGATTTTGTGGTTTGTCCACATTGTTTATAAGCAACTTTGAGGGAGGCCTTTTTACGCAGTTGTGAAGTCTTATTAGTCTGGGCTGTAACTTCTGTACCCACATTACAAAATCTTTTCTCAGTTCCTCAGCAGTCACCGGGGACTTCTCTCCAACGCTTCAGGTAGACAGCAGTCGAAGTCAGCATCTTCTTTCTGCCACGACCAGGTAGCGTTTGAACAGTGCCCTTTGCCTTGAATTTGCGAATGATGCTTCTAAGGTGTCTCTTGGTATGTTTAACATCTTTGCAATCTTCTTATTAGCTTGATGCCAACATTCTCTTGCCTTCAAGATGTTGTCTAGAAGGAGCTGCACTCATTGTGTAATTGTTTATGGATTGACTTGACAACAGGATGGTTGGGGTCCAATACCTGATGGAAAGCACCTGTTTAGGTTACTTCAAGGCAGTAGTCTTTAAGGTTGAATAATTGGGGCAATGAAGAAACCACATACTGTATTACATAAACAATTGATGTCATTTTAGTTGCATTGGGTAGGGGATTCTGAATACAATTCCAAATGTACACTAAAAACCCCTTTACAGCATTGGGGGTTGATTTTGTCACAACTGTGAAAAAGATCTCATCAAAGCACCATTAAGACGGACTTTAACACGGAATAATAAACTGTAAGGAAAAAAAAAAATCAGAGATTCTGAAAAAAAAAAACATTAGACTCCATGACAAAAAGAAGAAAAAAAAAAATCATCCTTTTTCCTATTGTTTACTAGGAGAGACAACTCTGAGGATTTTTAGGTTTGAAGGCAGCCAGATAGTTTTTAATATTGCTTGATGCCAACATAAGATGTTTGGTGCACTCTTGTGTGTTTATTGAGTCTTCAAGGGACTTTACACTGGGATGGTTGGGGTCCTGCTCTGATAACAAGAAAGTCTACTTCAGAAATGGAGAGTTGTACTGTTTGGGGAAAGGATAAATAGTATAAAAGGCACATGGTAGAAAGAAGGTCTGTAGTAAGGGGAAAAAAAAAAAAAAAAAAAAAGCAGGATTCTGTGAAAAAGTCCATCAATAACATTGCAGTTGGAATCAACAGGATTGCAAATTTTGGTGACTAGCAGTTTGGATGTGTCTATCTTTGGTGAACAGGCAACTTCTATAGTTGCCCAGAGCCAACTCTGTTGCACTCTTCCGATGTGCAGGGTATGTCCCTTTCCTCAGTCTCTTTTGGGGTACATGGCACTTGTGCAATATTTCGTTGGGTAAAAATGTCCCTATCATTCTCAATAGGGAGACAGCCAACCTATCTAGAACTTTGCAAACAGAGTTCATGGAGTTTACTAATTAAGACAAATGGGCTGTCCACTTTCCAAGGGAATTTGCCCTAGAGCTTAGTGAATGGTCAACTTCTGCACTTCCTCACCCCCTGATTTAACCTCAAATATGGTACACCACCTTGCCACAACCACATGTGACACAGCACCATCGATTGACCATGTTACGTACAGCAGGCAGTACTGCTTGCCGAACGCAACAGAGGGGACAATTTTAGCCTCGGCCATGAAGCACAGCATCATGGCTGCAGCACGTATACAACCCAGGCTGGTGCCCTGGCAGCTTAAGGGGAAGGACAGTAAAAAACACAGCTTAACCACGTGTTTGTACCACCTTCAACCACAAGTGTAATCGTGCACTTAGTTTACAGGGTTTACCAATCAGACAATCAGGCACCATTTTGTGGAAGAGCAACTTAAAGCAGTTCACCATCATATTACTCACATCAGTTGGACAGTATCCCTGCCCAACCAGAAAGCAAAAACTGTACTTGCCTTAATAAAATGTTCTTAAATTTAAAAGAAATATGAAGCCTACAATTAAAGTAGATACATTTCCTAAGCCCTCAAAGATTTTTTTGTATAAAACAGCATAAGCCTCTGTTCAGATTTTGCTCCAGCACCTGATTGTAGTTACACCTCTAGAAACATTAGGATACTGTAAGGGGACCAAATCAGCAATATTATTAAAAAATAGAACACACTTTCAATTACTGACTTCAGCAACAGCATGCAATAACATGCTACAGCATGACTATTAGCTTGTAGTAAATGGATTTTTGCTCAAGAGATAGAACTAGAATTCTACCACTTTACAAAACTCTGGTTCAGGCACATTTTTAGTATGCAGTCCAGTTTTGATCACTGATCCTTAGGAAGGATGTGCTTAAAATAGAGAGAGAACAGAGAAGGGAAACAAAGCTAATATAGGCATCTGGAACATGTCAGTTATGAGGAACAACTTCAACCATTAAACATATCCTTCCAGGAGAAGAGATGCTTCAGAAGGGATATGATGGTAACATACAAATGTTTGAATGGTGACTCTAGCATTGGGAGGAAATTGTTGCACCTATGGTCTCAATATAAGACATACAGCAATACAAAGAACTTACTGTGGATGAGAAATGGTTCAATCTTAAACTGTGCATCTGGTTCTTTACTTTAAAAACTTTAGTTGCTTTCTTTCCGAATGCAGTGTATAGGGATATGGAAATGGTAACAAAATACACACACACACACACACACACACTGGTGTCTTTATTCAACCATATCAACTATGTGACTTACAAGCAAAAATGTTTAACGATACTGTACCTGTGCTTCTTTCAGCTTGGCCTCCAGATCACCCAGGTCCATGTGCTTGTATCGGTACTTGTTGGCCTTGCAGAGGCGGATACCATCAATGATGGAGGCATGATTCAGTTCATCCGACAGAACTGCATCTTCTGGAGTCAGCATTGCCTAAAGGAATAGGAGAATTAGAAGTGGTCCAGAAAACTTGGAAATCAGATTAAAGCAGCCATGCATAACAGCTGCAACAAATCGGGAAGTAGGCTAAAACATTTTATTATCAGTATACACAAAAAGTACAAAAAAAAAAAAGGAGAAGCTTGAGCCAAACCTTGGCACAATCATAACTAAAGTGGTTCTAAAGGCAGAAGTTCTCATCTTAATGCAGTCTATACATTAAAGGTGAAAAAACCTCCTGTGTGCAGCTCCCCCCCCCCCCCAGCCCCCCTTATACTTACCTGAGCCCCTTCTTGACCCAGCAATGTGCATGAGAGCTGCAGCTCTCCTGGGTCTCTCTCTACTCACTGGCTCACACAGCACCGGGATCCATTGGCTCCTGCTGCGGTCAATCACAGCTGGTGAGCCAATGAAGAGAGTGGGGGGGGAGCGGGGCCAAGCCACGCTCTCTGTGTGAACGAACAATGTCCATTCACAGGAGTGCAGCTTGAGAGCGAGCCTCCTCGTGTGCCCACATAGCAAGAGGATTGCCAGGACTGCTGGCGGGGGACCCAAGAAGAGGATCGGGGCAGCTTGAGAGCGAGCCTCCTCGTGTGCCCACATAGCAAGAGGATTGCCAGGACTGCGCGGGGGACCCAAGAAGAGGATCAGGGCTGCTCTGTGCATTGCACTGAACAGGCAAGTATAACGTGTTTTTTTTTTTTATTACAACCTTTAGAAGCACTTTAAATATATGTCACAGTGAATATGAGGGTGTATTATTATATGGGATTACCAAAATATGAAAAAGCAAATACCAAAAAAATATCCAATGTATGGCCAAGGGATGTGATTATATACATTATCCCTATAGCAACCACTTACTATTCATATGCCTCCTTCCATGCTTCACAGCAATCTCATTACACTGACATGGCCTTAGATTTATTACAACATAACTGCTGTCTGCTGCAGATACCTTTATATACAAAGGACAGATAGGTCTGTTTATTTACGATCATGGCCACAAGCCTATATAGCTATCAACACTGATACAAAAAAGGCATAGATCCATAACGTAGAGTCATTTTAAATGTTCATTTAAAGGTTGCATACAAAATCATAAATGTGACTTTATTAAAAAAAATTCAGTGAACTGCTGCAAAGGGTTAAAAAGCCAGTCTGACATAGCCCAGTGAACAAAATGCTAATCACATTTGTTCTCACTCCTCTAAGCAGAGCTGCTGATTAGAGCAAAGTAAAAGAGTGAGGAGGGAATGGTGTGTCAGAGAATTGGGCTGCTGCTTGTATACTAGGGTTGCCACCTCACCCCTTTAAAACCGAACACATCAATTACACAGGTTCTGTGGCTGAATAAGGTGGTAATTAAACTCACTTAGTGCCTTATCTGCATTAAATTAGCCTCAAAACCTTTGTAATTAATGAGTTCGGTTTTAAACGGGATGGAGGTGGCAACCCTATTGTATACAGGGTCTTAAAAAAAGTATTCATACCCCTTGAAATGTTCCACATTTTGTCAAGTTACAACCAAAAACGTAAATGTATTTTATTGCGATTTTATGTGATAGACCACCACAAAAATGGCACATAATTGTGAAGTGGAAGGAAAGTGATAAATGGTTTTCAAAATGTTTTACAATGAAATATCTGAAAAGTGGAGTGCATTTGTATTCAGCCCCCTTTTTACTCTGGTCCCACTAACCAAAATCTAGTGGAACCAATTGCCTTCAGAAGTCACATAATTAGTAAATAGAGTCCACCTGTGTGTAATTTATTCTCAGTATAAATACAGCTGTTCTGTGAAGCCCTCAGAGGTTTGTTAGTGAACAAACAGCATCATGAAGGCCAGGAAACACAAGAAAGGTCAGGGATAAAGTTGTGGAGAAATGTACAGCAGGGTTAGGTTATAAAAAAAAAAATAATATCCCAAGCATTGAACATCTCATGGAGCACTGTTCATTCCATCATCCGAAACATGGAAAGAGTATGGCACAACTGCAAACCTACCAAGACATGGCCGTCCACTTATAATGACAGGCCAGACTAGGATAGCATTGATCAGAGAAGCAGCCAAGAGGTTCATGGTAACTCTGGAGGAGCTGCAGAGATCCACAGCTCAGGTGGGGAAAATCTATCCCCAGAAAAACCATTAGTTGTGCACTCCATAAATCTGGCCTTTATGGAAGAGTAGTAAGAAGAAAGCCATAGGAAGTCCCATTTGCAGTTTGCGAGAAACCATGTGGGGGACACAGCAAACATGGAAGAAGGTGCTCTGGTCAGATTAGTTCAAAATTGAACTTTTTGGCCTAAAAGCAAAATGCTATGTGTGGCGGAAAACTAACTTCACATCACCCTGAACACACCATCCCCACCATGAAAGATGGTGGAGGCATCATGTTGTGGGAAAGATTTTCTTCAGCAGGGACAGGGAAGCTGGTCAGAGTTGATGGGAAGATGTGATGGAGCCAAATACAGGGCAATCTAAGAAGAAAACCTGTTAGAGTCTGCAAAAGACTTGAGACTGCGGTGGTGGGTCACCTTCCAGCACGACAAGGACCCTAAACATACAGCCAGAGCTACAATGGAATGGTTTAGATCAAAGCATATTCATGTCTTAGAATGGCCCAGTCAGAGTCCAGTCCTAAATCCAATTAAGAATCTGTGGCAAGAATTGCTTTTCACAGATGCTCTCCATCCAATCTGACAGAGCTTGAGCTATTTTGTAAAGAAGAATGGGCAAAAATGTCACTCTTTAGATGTGCAAACCTGGTAGAGATATAGCCAAAAAGACTTGCAGCTGTAATTGCAGCGATAGGTGGTTCTACAAAGTATTGACTCAAGGGGGCTGAATACAAATGCAAACCACACTTCTCAGATATTTTAAAAAAATTTGAAAACCATTTATCATTTTCCTTCCATTTCACAATTATGTTCCACTTTGTGTTGGTCTATCACATAAAATCGCAATAAAATACATTTACATTTTTGTTTGTACTATAACAAAATGTGGAGCATTTCAAGGGGTATGAATACTTTTTCAAGGCACTGTAGTTAGCAAGCCCTGTGGTGGCAGCTGTAGCAGAGTGCTGCTACACCTGCCACTACAGGGCTTGCTGCAATGCTTCGCAGATAAAACCCCCCAAAAAACAAACACACACCCCTATAGCAGCTAGTCACAAAAATATAAAAAAACCCATCATTGACATTTTATAGCTGCAGACATTACAGAACAGCTCTTTCTCCAAGTTCATAGCACTAAAGGGTTTCAAGTTCTTAAATCATCAACTCAGCCTCCATCCCCCTCTCAACACACCTCCTTTCTGTTTTAGGTTGAGATTATAGGGCCAAGTCACTGCTAGGAGGGGGAGCAGAATGACATGAACTACTTGAAAAATTTTTTTAATGTCTTTATTGCTTCTGCTGTAAAAACGTTTAAGGCAAACCACTGAACAGTGATGCTACAGGGGTCAGTAATTTGTACTTGTGCTTTCATTTTATGCTATAATCCAGACATATCTGTACCACTTGACGTATTTCTCCTTTTCTCTCTCAATATTGTACTCTCATGGAGTCGCCTACCCCATGCCACATGCAGAATTTAGTTTAAAAAAAAAAATAAAACCCACAAGGTAACTAGTTAACTTACGACACACATTCTTGCTCCTTTAGCCTGGGTTCACACTCATGCGGTCCGGAATTTGCAGCGTTTTCTGTGCGAATTCCGCACCACATCAGAATCACACCCCATTCATGCGAACAGCTGCGGGTGTGTATGTTAACATCCCGAAACTGGACCGCAAAAGGAGGTGCGATGTGCAGAATTGGATCGCATAGGTGTGAATACCCACGCAATCTGATTTTAGTGTGGACCCAAAAAAGGGTCCTGCACCTTTTTGATGCGGGTATAAATGTTAAATATATATCCAAGCATTACATTTATATCTGTCATATGACAAATAATTTTTTTTTTCTAAGTATATATAAATTCAACATTAAAAAAAATATATATATATATATATATATATATATATATATATATATAATCTATCAATTCTTGAATCGTGCTACTACTATATATGCTAGTTAGAACTGCAGTCAGCATTGTGGCTTAGTGGTTAGTACTTCTGTTGCCTAGCAGCACTAGGGTTGCCAGTTCAAATCCCAACCATGGCTCTAAAGGCAAGGAGTTTGCATGTACTGCCTGTGTGGGTATCCTCACATGCTGGTATTTGTTTTAGCTACTGTCTAAAATTGTCCCTATTATATGAATGGGAGTTAGGGATTTTAGGATTGCACGCTCCTTGAAGGCAGGGCCTGATGTGAATGTACAATATGTATGTAAAGTGCTGTGTAAATTGACGGCGCTATACAAATACCTGAACTAATAAAAATGCAGGTTTATATATGTGTTTTTTGCAATCTGGTACATTTTAGAACGTTTCACATAATGTAGACAAAAGAGCTGACATTACAAACTAGAAAAGCTACAATTTCTGGGGAAATTGTGTGAAGTGTTCTTGCCTGCTCACACAC